AAAATGAGACGACGAAAGAGATCTGGACACGTCATACCCTTTTTCATATTTCGGCTTTTCGGCTCGACTATGCTTCTTTTTGCAACTCACTGTTGACCACCATCTACTTTGGTCTTCACTTTCTCTTAATTACAATTTTACCCATTCAAAATACATTTTTTAAATTCTTTGAAAAATGATTGCCCCCCACTAGAGTTAAAATAATGATAAAATATTAATTATGTTATAGATGGAGGATCATTTTGTAAAAACTTATAAACAAAACAAAATTTTTAGAATAATTTAAAATCTTATTAATGCTTTTAAAAACATACCCATAAAATAATAAATGCATTTGAATTAAAAAAATAATTTATTAAAAAAGAATATACTCGCAATTAATAAGTTTTGACTCAACGGTTATCCATATTCTGATTTATGATAAAAATTTAAATTTTGACTCTTATTTAACGCACGATTGATATATATTACGTTATAGTCAAAAGAAATTAATATGTATTACGTTATATTTTCTTATTCTTCAGTTACTATTCTTTTCCATTAGTCGTCTTTATAATTTTGCATTGATTTTTATCTAACGCACGATTGATATGTATTACATTATACTCAAAAGAAAATAACGTATTACGTTATATTTTTCTACTCTTCAGTTATTATTCATTTCTATTAGTAATCTTTATAATTTTGTATTTATTTTTTATTAAATTTAAAGCATCTTTTAGTGACTTAGGTATAAATTGAAACTCATTTATAAACTCTTTAAGTGACTTCTTCCTAACATCATTGTCTCGAATAGGTAGATGTATTGAACCAATAACTTAGTGAGATCTTTGGTAGAGACATAATGGATGATAATGGTAGCCTAAAATGAGTTACAAAATCCGAAATCATTTAAGCTTATCTAAAAGGTGGTGTCTGGCTAAAGTAGATATGCATTTTGAATAAGATTACTCTTAACTTTCACATCATCATAAGAGAAGAGAATGGAGAAAAAAAGAATTACTCTTGTTTGTTTGAATCTTTACTAGTATCTGAATTTTAATCACTCGTTAATAATTAAAAATATAATATAAAAAAATACTTTTAATTTGAATCAAAAAAAAATATTAATGCATAATCATTTTAAAAGAAAAAAAATAACGAAGATGAATAAACTTTAAGCTTTCATTCAAGTAAAGAAAGAAAATGAGACTTTAAAAATACAAAAATTGGAAACGCTATAGAGACAGAAATTCTAATAGTGATTCAACAAATATTTGTTATGAGGATTAATTTGAATAGATTTTGAGAAAGTATAGGTTTCGTTTAAATAACATAACTTCCAATTATAATTCAATCGATGTCTATGATAACGACTGAGTTGAATAGAATTTGAATACAACAAAAACAAAAAAAAACTTTTAGGGGCTAATTTGAATAAAACAAAAATAAAAGACTTTTGTTGTAATTTAGTCAAAATGAGGTCATACTGTAATAAATATATATATATATATATATATATATTTAAAATCCACTAACCAAATGTTGAATAGTTAGATTTTGTTCATTATTTACTTAAACTTGAAAATCTTAGATTGAACTTAATTATCTCTATTACAAACTCATTCAAGCCTAATAAAAACCTCTTTTTCAAATTAAATTCAAATCTTATTCCTTTGAAGAAGTCAATAACTTCACAAATCAGATTTCAAGTCAAGCTCAAACTGAATCTTAAACAAGTAGAACTCAGATAACAAATTATACAACACAGGCTCAATTCGTTGTCACCCTTTCGACGACTCAAGCTTCTAGATATATTTCTTTATACACATATATTCGACTCGAACCTGCTAGATAGGATGCTGCTTTTCACTGAAGAAAACAATAAATAATTCAACATCACAGAGATCTTTTTCTCCAAACACACAAAGTCTTCCAAAGGCCTCCAAATGGAAGAGACTTAAAAATTTGCTCAACCTAATTTTTCCAAGAACACCTCAGTTAGCGTACGGCCATTGACAATATTTGTTGTTCCAACAATCAGATCATATGCCATCCCTTCCTGCTTGCATCATAAACAATGTTGCAGCAAATCAAAGAACAAGGAGGGACAACTTACTGGAGGGAGAAACTAAGGTGTCAAGTAACTGATTGACAATCTAACTATAAAATCATCCTTCAAATGCCAAAAGAAGATAGAAGTGGCGATACGAAACAATTACTTATTTACAAGAGAAACCTTCCCTAAAATCAAGGACTTATTCCACAAGAAAAGCCTCACTTTTGCTCAAGCTTCAAACCATCAAATGCATGAAAAGTTTAGCTGCCTTTGGTACAGGGAAACAGTTAAGGTTAATTTTTAATTTTTAGAAAATAGGAAAAGGAGGTAAAATTTTAATGTAAGTCTGTCTCTTATTTCCTTTGTGTAATAGACAAAGACAAACCCTGAGAAAAGCTATGCATCTTGTCTCAAAAAGAAGCTATTTAAATTTCTACTTTTAAATTTTAGAAAATATGCTTGAGAAAAACACATTGTTTTTATTGTTTAAAGAAAACAGTTTTCTGAAAATGAAAAGAATAAACAGCTCTACTTTGTTTCAAATTTCCAGTTGCTTCGTATCGTTTTCTAAAGTTAAAACTATTTATTTTTTACAACCAAGTGCATTTTCCTTGTCATCTTACTTTTAAACAAAGTGAGAACGTGGACTCTTTTCAAGCACCGACACAAATCTCATTCCTTATACCCAAGCACATATCAACATCTATTGTTTCCTTTCCACTTCCTGAATAT